GTGCTGGGTCTGGGTGGGATGTTCTTCAGATGCACAGTGTGGAATTGTTGAGCTGAATGGCCTCTTTCTGCACTGTGGGGATCCTCTGATACTATGGGTAGGAAAATCTCTTGCTGATGACTCCTTTTTGCCCTCAGTACTCTGCCATATTGAACACCAATTGGAGAATGCAATGATGGTGGCAAGGACACAGAATGGGCTCTGGTTGGAAGACTTCAATGTCCATCACCATCTGTGGCTTGACAGCATCATTACTGAGCAAGCTGGCTAAGTCTCAAAGGACACATCTGACAGACCACTTCTGTGGAAGGTGGTGAGAGAATAAACAAGAGGGAGAAACATATTTGATCTCTTCCTCAACAATTTACCTGTAGCAGATGTGTTTGCCCATGACAGCATGGGTAGGACTGACCACTTTGTGGAAGCAAAGTCCTGCCTTCACACTGAGAATACTCTCCACCAAGTTGTGCTGCACTACTTAATGGGATAGATTTCAAACAGATTTAGCAGCTCAAAACTGGGCATTTGTGAGGTGCAGTGGATCATCATCAGCAGTAGAACTGTATTCCACTCAAAGTCTGCATCCTCATGGCCTTGCATATCTCTCACTCTAAAATTACCATCAAGCCAGGAGATCTAAAGTGGCCCAACGCAGAAGGCAGGTGTGCCATGCCTGGAGCTGTACCAGGAATACCTAAAAGTGAGGTGTCAACTTGGTGAAGATATAACACAGAACATGCTAAGCAGCGTAAGCAAGATATGATAGGCTGGGCTAAGAGATCCCACAATTAATGGATCAAATTGATGATTTGCAATCCTGCTATACCAGTTGTTAATGATGGTGGACAATTAAACAACCCATTGGAGGAGGAGGAGTCTCCACAAATATCCCCATCCTCAAAGATGAGGGAATCCAGCATACCACTACAAAAAAAAACTGAAGCATTTGCAACAATTTTCAGCCAGAAGTGCCGAGTACATGAGCTAGAGTTCACGAAAATCACAAATGCCAGTCTCCAGCCAATTTGATTCACACCATGTGATACCAAGAATTGACTGAAGGCACTGGACACTGCAAAGGCTATAGGTCCTGAAAATATTCTGGCAATAGTACTGAAGATTTGTGCTCCGGAATGAACGCTGGCCCCCTAACCAAGCTGTTTCAGTACAGCTGCAACACTGACATTTACCCAACAACATGGAAAATTGCTCAAGTATGTCTTGAACAAAAAGTTGAACAACGAACAAATCCAATTTGGCCCCAATTAACGCACCATCTAAATTTTTAGCAAAGTGAAGGGAGATGTCATCGACAGTGCTACCAAGCAACATTTGCTCAACAATAACCTGCTCACTGATGCTCAGTTTGGATCGTGTCAGGCCCACTCAGCTTGACCTCAATACAGCCTTGGTCCAAACACAGGCAAAAGAGATGAACTCAAGAGTAGAAGTAAAGGTGGCTGTACTGAACATCAAGGTGCATTTGACCAAACGTGTCATCAAGGAGACACAGTAAAAATGAAGTCAATGCAAATCAGAGGAAAACTCTCCATTGATTGGAGTCATACATCAGACAAAAATAGCTGGCCGTGGTTGTTAGAGGTCAGTCATCTTAGCTCCAGGATATCTCTGCAGGGGTTCCTCAGGATAATGTCCTCAGCCAAATCAACTCTATCTGCTTCATCAATGACCTTTGCTCCTCCATAAAGTCAGAATTTCGGACATTCACTGATGGCTGCACAATATTCAGCATCATTCGTAACTCATTTGATATTGAAGCATTCCAGGTCCAAACACAGCTAGACCCGGACAATATCTAGGCTGATAAGTGGCAAATAACATTCGCACCACACAATGTCATACAATGACCATCTCCAACAAGAGAGAATCAAACCATCCCACATTATCATCACTGAAGTCCCACACTGGCTATATTCTAGGGGTTACCATTGACCAGAAACTGAATTGCACCAGCTACACAAATACATGGCTACAAGAGCAGGTCAGAGGCTTGGAATTCTGCAGCATGAAACCCACCTGCTGATTCCTCAAAGCCATTTACAAGGCCTGGTATTAGAATTGCGTAAAGGTAATGACAAAGACATGAGGGAGGAACTGGCCAGAGTTGATTGGAAAGGGAGCCTAGCAGGGAAAGTCATGGAGCAGCAAGGGCAGGAGTTTTTGAGGGTAATTTGAGAGGGCACAGCAGAAATTCATCTCAAGGAAGAAGAAACATACTAAACAGAAGATGAGGCAACCATGGCTGACAGGGGAAGTCAGGGACAGTATTAATGCAAAAGCGAAAGCATACGATGTGGGGATAGCAAGAACTGCAGATGCTGGAGTCAGAGATAACATAGTGTGGAGCTGGAGGAACACAGCAGGCCAAGTAGCATCAGAGAAGCAGGAAAGTTGACATTTCGAAGGGTCCCAACCCGAAAAGTCAACTTTCCTGCTCCTCTGATGCTGCCTGGCCTGCTGTGTTCCTCCAGCTCCACACTGGGTTATCATCAGCATACCACAATGTGGTGAAGATTAATGCGAGGCCAGAGGATTGGGAAGCCTTTAAAACCAGCAGGGGACAACGAAAAAAGTTATAAGGCGGGAGAAGATAAAATATGAGGGTAAGCTAGCTAGTAATATAGAAGAAGATTGCAAGAGATGTTTTTTAGATATATAAATGGTAAGAGAGAGGCAACAGTGGATATTGGAAAATGAGGCTGGAGGAGTAGTAACGGAGAACAAAGAGATTGCAGAGAAACTGAATAGGTACTTTGCATCAGTCTTCATGGTGGAAGACACATCAGACTTTCAGGAGAGTCAGGGCAGACATGGGTGTAGGTGTCATCACTAAGGAAAAATTGCTGGTGATGTTGAAAGGTGTGAAAGTGGATAAATCACCCAGACCAGACAGACTACACCCCAGGGTTCTGAAGGAGTTAGCTGAGGAGGTTGTGAATGCACTGGTTCTGATCTTACAGGAATCATTGGAGTCAGTGAGGGTTCCCAAGAACTGGAACATGACCTTGGTTGTTCAGAAGATTCCCTTATGAAGGATGAGATTGCAGAGTACTTGTTAGTGCACGGTAAAACAGGGCTGAGTCAGCATGTCTATGTCAAGCCTGGCAAATCTGTTTCAGTTCTTTTAGGAAATAATGGGCAAGTTAGAGAAAGGAGAGTCCATGGACATGATTTATTTGGATTTCCGAAGGCCTTTGACAAGGCACTGCATAGGAAGCTGCTAAGTAGGAAAAGAGCCCATGGTATTAGGGGCAAGGTACTGGCATGGATTGAGCATTGGTTGACTGGCAGAAGGCAGTGAGTAGGGCTAAAGGGGTCTTTTTCAGGATGGCAGGTAGTGACTAGTGGAGTTCCACAGGGGGTCAATGTTGGGACCACAATTATTCTCATTACATATTAACAATCTGGATGAAGGACTCAGGGTATTGTTGCTATGTTTGCAAATGACACAATGTTAGGTGGAGGGACAGGTAGTGATAAGGAAGTGGGATGCTGCCCAAGGACTTGAATGGACTAGGAGAGTGGGCAAAGAAGTGGCAGATGGAATAAAATGTGGGAAAATGTGGGAAAATGTGAGGTTATGCACTTTGGTAAGAATAGAGGGAATAATAGGGAAAGGCTTCAGATATCTGAACCACAAAGGGACTTAGGAGTCCTAGTTCAGGATTCTTTTAAGGTTAACATACAGGTTCAGTTGGCAGTTAGGAAGGCACATGCCATATTAGCATTCAGTTCGAGACGCATAGAGTACAAGGGCACAGATCTACTACTGAGGCTGTATAAGTCTCTGGTCAGAACATATTTGCAATATTGTGAGCAGTTTTGGATCCCGTATCTAAGGAAGGGTGTCCTGGCATTGGAGGTGTTTTAGAGGAGTTTTACAAGAATGATCCCGGGGATGAAGGGCTTGTCATATGAGGAGCAGTTGAGGATTCTGGGTCTGTATTCAACGGAGTTTCAAAGGATGGGGGTTATCTCATTGAAACTTACAGAATATTGAGAGACTTGGATACAAGAGACATGGAAAACACAGCAGGAGAGACTAAGATCCAAGAACACAGCCTCAGAGTGAAGGGACAACCCTTTAGAACTGAGTTGAGGAGGAATTTCTTCAGCCGGAGGGTGGTGAATCTGTGGAACTCATTGCCACAGAAGGCTGTGGAGGCCAAGTCAGTGACAGTATTTAAGACAGAGCTAGACAGGTTCTTTATCAGTAAGGGTATCAATGATCACGGAGAGAAGGCAAGAGAATGGTGCTGAGAGGCATATCAGCCATGATCGAATGGAAGAGAAGACTTGAGGCGCCGAATAGCAAAATTTTGTTCCTATATCTTATGGTCAGTGGTGTGAAGGAAGGCAACCAACAAAAGAAGCTCGACACCATCCAGGCTAAAGCAGCCCACTTGCCTGGCACCCCATCAACACATTCAACACACACTCCCTCCATCACCATGGCATAGTGGCAATAATGTGTACCATCAAGTACCATCGACAAGATACACTGCCAGAAATTTCCAAGGCTCCTTAAATAACACATTCCAAACCCAAAGCGCTGCAAATACAGTGATGCCCACCTCCCATGGATGAATAAAAACAGATGTACCAGTGCTTATGTTCTGCACAAACCTCCTCTCATTCTGTTATCTTTGTCTAACCCTAACAGTGTATCTTTTTATTTTTCCCTCATGTACCTATTACCTTCCCCTTATCTTTTTCTATGCTATATATTTGAAACATATTGGTTTCATTAGTGATTATCGTATATTTGTGGACCTTATTTTGGTTTCCCTCAGAAGTGGAGACGCCTTCTCGGCACCTACCCTTTTATATATTGAAAGAACTCTCGATCTTTTCGACAGAAAAGAGCCCAAACCTATTCAATCTTTCTAGGTTGTTGTTATGAACAAGTATAAAGTGAAACTGGTGCAGGAAATGAAATTGTAGGTTGACAAAGTAACTGAATACAAGCAGTCACCTACCATATGGATTCATGTGGTCCCCTGGCATTTGAGGTGGAGTGAGTCCTTGTTGAAATGGATCAGAGTTGTAACCATTTTGGTCCATGGACACAAGTTGTTGCTGTGGAGGTGCAACTGGTGCATACGAATTTATCATCCCATCCATTCTACTTGACATAACTTCTGTTATTGAAAAGAAGATCGATCAGAAATTTGCCTCGCTTTCCTGTCTTTAGAAAATAAAAACTAGTACTAATCAAATAGATTTGTTTCTTTGTTGGAAAGAAACCAGCTTTCTGTCTGAATAAAACATTTTAATCTTTCATGGATATGCAAATTGTGGTAGGGAACATGGTGACAAGGAGCCACAGCAGATTCCTTGCCTGGTCTAATAATTCACAACAACCACAATAGTGAGTCATCCTCAGGGGTCGGATATCAGTTGTATCCTATGGCTGTTCATTATGGTCTCTGTTTATACCACAGGCTAGATAAGTAATCTAAATTAAAATGATAAAACCTAGATGCAGGTTTTAATTTTAAAAGGAAATTAAACTGCCGAAGTGACTGTGCGGTGGTCGGTGTAACATCGCTGGGAAATATTCTTTTCATTCTGAGCTGTGGCACTGTGTTGATGGATGTTGACAATTGTGATTTAACACTTAATATTTATAGTGACTTTTCTTTTAAAAATTGTGTTACGTTAGCACACATTGTTTTCAATGGCAATGCAATTTAAAACCAGGTTACTACGAACTCTTTATTGCAGAAGTATCAGCAGCCACCTACGACTACTTTCAGAACAGTTTCCCATTCAAGCTTTTTATTTCTGTCTCTTCCACCTGTCATCCCCTCACCAGCCCCGCTCTCAGATGGCTACCTTGTCCTAGCCGCTGACCGTTCTGTTGTTCTTGTTGCTGCTGTTGTCTTCGAGCCAACTTTTTCATCTTAAAAATCGCAAAGAAATCAGTTTGAGATCAGGTGAGGAGGATTATTAAAGCACACACATTGAACGACATCTCTGAAATTTGACTAATAACAAAACAAATACATTTGGAGAACATACAGTATTTTAGCAGGTAATGGCTATGACTTTATCCTCCATGTTGGAGAAGTACAAAAGAAAAGAAAAAGCAGTTGCAAACTGGAAATCACTTTGTGAATGAACTGGCACTACATATGATAAGATCATACAAATGGAACAGCATCCTTAAAATTATGATTTATTTGCCCAAATCAACCACGAAACAAGAATATTTCTCTCTAATTAAGTAAAAAAACAAGTGACTTACATGTTTTGATCTACATAATTAGAACATAGCATGAAAAGCTAATTCAAGAAACTTACAATGTATTTTACTCCAATTGTGCAGTTCATACTTGCCTATCTCATATCTATCGGTCAAACCTAAGCTCTGTGTATACTTTGCGTAATTTGTGGCTTCCCCTGCTGTATCAACATTTTAGGGGAATGTAATGAATCATTTGGAGTGTGTGTGATCTGATGCCGGTAGCCCTTTGACTGGGTTTCATTTTTATTTTTGGATCCTACTTCTCCTCACAAATGAAGTGGATGCTTGCAGGAGACATTTATTCACACTATTAGGCAGCAGAAAAGTCTGAACTAATGCTTGTCATATGCGTAGTAGCTCTGTCTTAAAAATGCGCATTGACACCTTTTACAACGCTGGCCATTCATGTGCCCCAAAATGAGTCACTTTTTCAGTGTCAGAATAAGACCCGAGCCCACATTTGAGGCAATCATCTGATGCAGGTAGTTTGGAACAGGGTAGAGCTTAATCCAATCACATGGAGCTGTAATGCCAGCAGACACTGTCCACCATTCTGCCGGCTCGAGCTGGCATCATTTCTGGGGGAGGGTACGGGAGAGGTTGGATTGGAATGTACTTGAGGGGACAGTGAATCAGCCAGTAATAAGCCCCACTTAAAATGTAAATAAAGTTTGCAGGACATAAAATGGGCTGCTGATTGACCATGCCCTTTTCATGCTACAGCCCTAGGACTATCTTTCTAATGATTTTCTACGTCACATTACCCACCCCCCTATCACTTCCATTTCCTTGTTGCTCTCAGTTACATGTGGTAAGGTGGTGTTTTCTGACCATCCCTAGTTGCTTAGAAGTCTGAGATGGATCTCTTGCTGTTCGACTTTGTTGTAATTAATTCACAGCTGAGTTGTCACCAGGATAGCATTTGGAGTCAATGGAAAGCCAAACCAGATGGAGATGGCAAGCTCATTGAAAGGCATGAGTGAATGAGCTGGACTAAAGAGGCTAACTGGTCGCTTTCCTGATCACCTACGGCTGCTGGTCCGCAAATTACTGACTTCAATTTCACAACTTGTCACGACAGAATGATGGGCTTTGAATTCCCAATCACTGAGTTCCTTGTCCAGTGCTGTGCCTACTCAACCGCCACACCCTACTGCGCGGGAAGTCATATAGTAAAAATTATGTTAAGTATAAAAGATTTCAAAGTTGAGTGATCTGTGACAAAAAAGTTACCTTGGCTCTTTGATTTTGGAACCATACTTGAACTACTCTGACACTGAGCCCCGTTTCTGCTGCGAGCGTCTCTCTGACCTGTTCAGAAAAATCATTTGCATGTTGACATTATTTAGCAAACAGAAAGAGTCAAGTGCTATTAGTTGGAAAGATCTTCTTGAAGGTGAAAGCAAACCATTTTGCATAAATAATGGACAGCAAGCAAATCAAGAGATGTGTGGACAAGACATGGATTTGGAATCGGGATAGGAGACCAGCACATGATGTTATGAAAGGGTAGAGTAGGATGCTGAGGCCAAAGAGTTTTGGAGAAGGGTCATTAGACTCGAAACATTAACTGCTTCTCTCTTCAAAGATGCTGTCAGACCTGCTGAATTTTCCTGGCACTTTCTCTTTTTATTTCAGATTTCCAGAACCCACAGTAATTTGCTTTTATTAGCTTATTCCTGTTCCTAATATATTTGTGATATCTGAAAAATGAAACAGACTGATTGCAACCTCTGCCTCACATGGCAGAAATTGAGAGGTCTGGAGCGATTCAATTAAAATGGTCCAAAGATGTGAGAATTAGATGGATTGGCCATGTTAAACTGCCCACAGTGTTCAGGGATGTGAAGGTTAGGTGCATTAGCCATGGGATATACAGGATACATGGATCGGGTAAGGGGATGGGTCTGGGTTGGATGCTGTTAGGAGGGTTGGTGTGAACCCTGTTTGGCCGAATGGCCTGTTTCCACACTGTAGGGATTCTAAGCTTGCGGTGGCTTACCATCCAATATTGACCCTGTGGCCTTTCTGCAGTTTGCAGTTTTAGAAGGCAAGGAACCCTCGCCGAGAAGGTAGAAGGGTCCCTTTCCAACTAGGAAAACTGGGCTCCAATCACATGTGTCTTTTTAACGCCCCTGAGGTTTCACTACCAAGTCAACCTGGTCCAAGAGGAACCAGAGCCAGAAGAGAACCAGAAAAATAAGTTCAATTTATTTCTTTTGTTCAATAATCCTTTAGGGCCTGGAAGGAAATTTTGGCCTCTCTGTCCTGGTTTTGCTCCTCCCTGGACTCATTCCACTCCCACTACCCACCTCACCCCCAGAGACAATTGACACAAAGACACCACCTCCCCCCAAGATCAGTCTCACACTACACCAAATTTCTAGGGCTCATTATTTCAGATCTCAGGCAGTAACCTCCTCCATGGGAAATCCAGCTCCCGCATAGTCGGAAAGCCAGCACTTTGCACCAGCTTAAGCTGGAAGACTGACACAGCCTATGCAGAAAGCCAGGAGTGCCTCTTCCCCGGGGTCTCACTCCAAAAAGGATTGGACAGCTTGTCAGCCCCCTTCTGCTCTGCTCACATAATACTCACCACATGTTAAAGTTGGGTTTGAGTCTTAAAGCTCAACAGGTTAGGACAACTAAATAACTTAAGTAGACATCTTTAACAATAAGTGAGAACCTTTACCTTTCTGCATGGTTTGGAAGAAACTTCAAATGACGCTTTAAATGCTCTCCTTTGCTGTGTTGTAAGAATTGTCCTGGGACGCTTTGGCCGTCTCTGATCCTTGGCGTCTTCGCAAGCCTTTCCCTGAATTCCCTGAACTTTATTTGGTTTAATGTCAAGATCTTCATCATCACTTTTCACTGTGAATGTATCGAATGCAACACAATTCATTATCACTCTTTATCCATGAGCAATTCTGGAATATTTTAATGATTTGAAAAAAAAAGTCTTTTGAGAAAAGAGAACTTTGGTATAAAATACTATTTTCTAATCAATCTGTTCAGAGATGGTTTACACATGTCTGGAGCACATGGGACTTGAACACTGGCTTACTGCCTCAAAGGTAGAGATACTGCCACTGCACCACAAAACAAGTTAGGTGTTAAGGTGAGAGATTGGAATGGGGCACTTGGTATTAATTCAAACACTTGACTGTGAATATCAAACACACAAAGGCCACATAAATTACTTACATATAAAGTGATATCCCTTCCATTCCTTTACCCAAATAACATGCAATAGTTCCCAGGAAGAGGACAGTTCCTGCACTGGTATTGCACTTTACAATTCTGACACTTGTGAATTTCTGAATATGCTCCCAACACCACTACTTTCTTCCATTTGCCAAATCCTCCCATCCCATAATTACTGTCCGCTCCAAACCCCACTATGGTCATGGCCCAGCTCCATTGACTATACCTACTTCCAAGATAGGGCAGCACAGTGACTCAGTGGTTAGCACTGCTACCTCATGGTGCCAGGGACCCGGGGTCCAGGTGACTGTCTGTGTGGAGTTTGAACATTCTCCCTGTGTCTGCATGGGTTTCCTTTGGGTGCTCTGATTTTCCTCCCACAGTCCAAAGATGTGCAGATTAGATGGATTGACCATGCTAAATTGCCCGTAGTGTCCAGGGATGTGTAGGTTAGGTGGGTTAGCCATGGGAAATGCACACCAGGTAGGGGGTGAGTCTGGATGGGATGCTGTTCGGAGAGTCGGTGTGCACTTGTTGGGCTGAATGGCCTGTTTTCACACTGTAGGGATTCTATGATACATTCCAGGATTTAAAAAGAAATTGGAGAGATAGTATCTCCATTTGGAGTGCCATGTCTCTCATGGATCTGCCATTACATTCACTGAAGCCTCAGGCATGGAGAGCATGCCTGCCATTCTTAAATGGAAAATGAACTTGTCCACTAGAATCCTAACGGTGTAGAAAGGGGCCATCCAGCTCTGCACCGACCCTCCAAAGAGCATCCTGCCCAAACCTGGTTCACTCTATCCCCTTGCTTAGCATGGCTAATTAGCCAAACCTGTACATCTTTGGACTGTGGGACGAAACTGGACCACCCGGAGGAAACCCACGCACACATGGGGAGAATGTGCAAACTCCACACAGACAGTTGCCCAAGGGTGGAATTGAACCCAGGTCCCTCGTGCTGTGAGGCAGCAGTGCTAACCACTAAGCCACTGCGCCATCTAAATTGAGCCACTTTGGACAGGATCACTTTGAGTGGCACGGTGTGGGCATATAACCTTCATTTGAGCCTGATGGTTGTGTTCAGAATCCTGCAGGAAAAATCCGGTGCCAAATCTCAGTTTGAACCATTCCTCTGTATTACTATGAGGCAATGCAGGAAGCTTAGAGATGTGCTGCACACAAATGGAACCTTCCCATCACTGATATGCTTGCTGTTGTCTGTATGTTTTGTTTGCCATTGCAGTAATGTTGTAGTATTGCTCCCAGAGGAAGCTGTCACTCACAGCAAAATGCTGTCCTGAAGAGGCAGTGCAGTCAAATTTTGAGCTTTGAATGTCACATGGTCAATGAGTTCCAACCCCCACAACTTACAACTTTGTTTTTAAGAGTCCTTGCATTTACTTTTCCTGATGTAGCAACTGGGATCCATTTACCTGTGGTGTTTACATTAGCTTTCTATACTAACAGTTGGTAGAGAAGAATATCGGTGAACATTTTTCATCATACATCATAAGGGTAATTAAACTGGAGTAACTGTTTAATAATTTTTTTTTAAAAATAGTTTATTCATTTAAAATATGGCTTCTTCTGGTGAAGGGAGCATCATTTAAAATGTAAGATGGCTGAAAGTTGAAATTTTGAAGTTACAGTTGAAGGGTTTTTAATTCAAAAATTATGATTCTAAAACTATAAAATGTAAAGTGAATCAACAGGTTTTATTTTGCAAAATTTGGAAAAGTAAGCCAGCCGGAAAGAGATTTATTTTAATATTGTTCACTATTAACTTTGTCTCATACACGCTCCGTACCATGATCTTCATTTATTTCGATTCAACATTTTTATGCAATGATCAAACGCCAACTCACTCACCTTAATAGCCATGTCATTATTAGCTTCCTGAAATGCCATTTAAATTTAATGGCTTTCTGAACATGATAACTCCTTGTCTTTGGAGAGTAACTGCAGGTCTGGCACCATCAAATGGCATTGCAGGTTTGTATTTTTTTTTTAATCGCATTTGGAATGAACATTTGCAAACAATAAAAGAAGCGAAACAGTTCTACAGTAAATAGTGACCTCCCATACAACCCTATCCCAGACACACACATACACAACATTCACTCGCTCTCTGCTGATATGAGTCTTTCTTTGATCATCTGTTTTTGATAATTCAAAAATGGTGAGCATTTTGTACTCTTCCAGCTGAATGTTATAAAGGTTAGTTAACTATTGGTGTTCCTTGGTGCCATATTTACATCTGGGCTGTTAATCAAACATGGAATTTGCCCTAGTCCACTTTGAGTTAAGAAGGAATGTTCCAGCAAACAAAAACAGGCACACGGAGATGCTTTGACAAATTCTTTGACAGTTGTCTGCAACAAAATAAGGAACAGCTGTAGCCAATACTGCAAATTGAATAACGGGTGTGGATGTTTAGTGGGGGCATTTACTTGAGTGACACACTGTTTCTTATAAAAGCTAAACAAAATAAACCTAGCTATTGACACATGGAGCAATTCTATGACTAACTCAAAATGTTACACATCTCACTGAACTCCAGTTGGAATAAGACAGTAACAACATAAATGAAACAAATTTTGACCATATGCCAGATACTAATTTATTATCTGAATTTATTCATAATCAGTGGTGCTAACAACAATTGGAAGGATTGTAGGGTAGTAAGTATTTTGGAATTTCTGAATGCTGACCCATATTGAAATAAAAAGGAGAAATTTGACTGAAAACATGTAGCTGTGAACAGAAAAGATGGGCTAACTTTGGACCCAGAGATTCAGAAGAAAGCCTGTACCGTTTCATTCATTTCTGCAGATGCCATTTGGTATCATTTCTAATCCACACACTGATCTCAAGAAGATGCCAGATGCTATGATCACTAAGACTAGGAAGAGTAGATCTCGGCAACAGGAAACCAAGGCAGGGATACACTGGGCAGTAAATCACCAGGCCTCGGTAAGAGTATGTGTAAAATTCTGGACACCACTCTTTAGGAAGGACGTCAAAACGTAAAATAGAATACCCCTAGAGGTGAGCTACTAGAATTGTGCCAGGGTTGAGGCAGTTACACAGACAGGGCTGGGATTCATCACGTTAAAGCAAGGAACGCTCACTTATGATTTAATGAAGGAGTTCCAAATTATGAGAAGTTTTGATCAAGGTAATAAGGAGAATCTGTTTCCATTGGCTGAAGATTTGATAACCAGAAGAGGCAGATTTGAAACAATTTACAAAAGGACCATTAGGGGATAGTGTAATTTTGCATACAACAGAGTGGTTTGCCTAGTGTGGCAATGCTTATATTATCCCCCGTAATGTGAGAAACTGGGTGTGAGTACTGAAGAATCCAGCAGACATTTATTACAGCTAACTATTATTTACAAACATTATATTCACAGGCACATAAGTGTCTGGGCTGATATTGGATTACAGGGACCAGCGTCCTTGTAGCAGAATGTCATGCTTCAAGTGATCCTGAGGTAAGATAGAGTCTGAGACTGTTGTATCTTCAGGTCACATGTTATGATACAGCGATGAGATCATGAACAAACCTTTTAAAACTATATTGACAAACTGACTATGAGACATCCACAACACAGAGAAAGATTTTTTTTAAAGTTAAGCAACGAGTTTTTATGTTCTGAAATGCACTACCTAAAAGGCTGGAATGGGTACAATAATAAATACCAAAGCCAAATTCAGTATATACTTGAGAAACTAAAAATTGAAGGGCTATGAAGACGGAACAGGGGCTGGGGCTAATTGGATAGCTCTTTCAAAGAACTGGCACATGCACAAAGTGACAATGGTTTGGTCTAAAATCTCTGATTCTAGATGTGCTAAATTCCCAAAAACAGGGACAAGTATTGTCTGTGATGCGAGATGTCTTAAAGACGTCTGATGAAATTGTTCTTCAAAGTGCATTGAGTATAGGTGTTGGGAGATCATGCTGCGGCTGTACAGGACATTGGTTAGGCCACTTTTGGAATATTGCGTGCAATTCTGGTCTCCCTGCTATAGGAAAGATATTGTTAAACATGAAAAGGTTCAGAAAAGATTTACAAGGATGTTGCCAGGGTTGGAGGGTTTGAGTTCTACGGAGAGGCTGAATTGGCTGGAGCTATTTTCCCTGGAGCGTCAGAGGCTGAGGGTGACCTTATAGAGGTTTATAAAATCGTGAGGGGCATCGATACGGTGAATAGACAAGGTCTTTTCCCCGGGGTGGGGGAGTCTAAAACTAGAGGGCATAGGTGTAAGGTGAGAGGGAAATGACAACAAATTACAACCACATGGCATCACACGCTAGTCGTGATGTATTTTCCAATAAATACCCTAGACAAGGCTGGGCCTTTAGATTCAACTTATTTATTTACAGGAGGACAACAGATTTTGTTTTTGCAGTGATATCATATATTTTGTGAGTCTGCAAGCATTTAACAACAAGGAGTAAAGTGATAAAAATGAGTAAAACAACGACCTAAGGGGCAACTTTTTCGCACAAGAGGGTGGTGCGCGTATGGAATGAGTTGCCAGAGGAAGTGGTGGAGGCTGGCACAATTACAACATTTAAAAGGCATCTGGATGGGTGCATGAATAGGAAGGGATTAGAAGGATATGAGCCAAATGGTGGCAAATGGGACTAGATTAATTTAGGATAACTGGTCGGCATGGATGAGTTGAACTGAAGGGTCTGTTTCGGTGCTGTACAGCTCTATGACTCTATGACTGTAAGGCCCATTCCAGCTCGTTGGTAGCTTTGGTGTGAACACAACCATTAAAATACGCACAGCATTGCAGGTCATTGTCATGACAACACATGACAATCACATGACATCACATGCTAGTCGTGATGTATTTTCCAATAGATACCCCAGACAAGGCTGGGCCTTCAGATTCAACTTAGTTGAGGACAACAGATCTTGTTTTTGCAGTGATATCATATATTTTGTGAATCTGCAAGCATTTAACAGCAAGGAGTAAAGTTATACAAATGAATAGAAATAATTTCAGCAATGATGGTGAATTTTTTGCTGTGGGAAATATTTGGAATGTGTAATCATTACCTGAGTCAGAATCATCAGGGCTAACAGAGCTCAGCAGTTCTTTTTCTTTCTCATAGTCACTTTTGCAAAGCAGCTGCCCCTCTTTCAAAACATACTCGTCACCTTTCCTCAGTTGTCTTTCGCAAACACAGCAACAAAAACAGCTCAGATGGTAAACGCATTCTAAAGCTCGCATCACAAATTCTGTCGGTGCTATCTTCTCCATGCAACCATTGCATTTCGTGGCAAACAATCTGGAAAAGACAAGAAAGTCTAAGACACAGCAATTTGTGCATGGCATTTTGTGATGCTTAACATGATTTGAATTAATAATTGTACCTTAGTTGCGTAGATGCTCAGGGAACCTTTTCTATCCAGAAGTTTGAATTTTAATGTTATGAGGATTTGTATGAGATGTCACACCAAAAGAGTCCCTTGTATGATTTCCTTAAATTATTCTACGTCAGTTTGTGTCAGCTACTAGTGGCTGAGGATCTGTTCTGGGGCTGGACACCTTATCTAGGGTAACACTCCAGCAGAGTGTTGAGAACCCCTTTCATTAGAGAAGTGCTTTCTGTTTGATGTGATTCTGAACAGTTGTAAAGCTGATAACACCATTCAAAGTGTGGGAGAATTATCCTGGCGAACATTCCTCACTAACCCAACACCTTGTTGAGCAGGTGGGTTGGTTGTTCCACTCAGCTCTTATCATGGGATGGTGCTCTGTAATAATTGCAGGTTGTATTTCCTAACATAACATAACAGGTAATTAATTACACATAAAAATAATCCACTAAATGGTAAGCAATTTGCAAATCCTAAATATTAACCAATGCCTACATTAATGAGACATTTAAATCATTTACCTATTGATCATTTTTTTCTCTTCACAGACTACTGATTGTGGCAAATTGTTTTAAAGCATCTAGGATTAATTCTTTTTTCCCCTGCTAAATCTAACTATTTTTCCCAATTGTTTCCTTAGTCCTCATCTTTTATCATGGTTCTAAAAATAACTCTTATAATCCATAGATATCAGGAACATGTTTTTGTTTTTAAAAATGTTAAGGAAAGAAACATTTGTAATAGTATGTAATGAATCCTTGGAATTCTCTGCCTAAGAGGATTGTGAAGGCTCAATGTTCAACATTGAGATCAATAGACTTCTACATATTAAAACATCAAGGGATACGGCAATGATGCAAGAAAATGGTGCTGACATAGAAGATCAGTCATGATCTCATTGAGTGGGTTCAAAGGCTGAATGACCTCCTCCTGCTATAATATATTTCTTATGTTGTTACATAACACTATACAACCACTAGTTGTTCCAACTTGTTTCACAACCAATGATGTACTTTCGAAAAACAATCACTGATGTTGGAGGCATAGTAATTATTTTTTAAACAGCAAGCTCCCATAAATAGTCCTGTGATAATGACCACATGATTTAGTTTAATAATGTTGATTATTACAGTTTGATTCGGTTCATCGGTCATATCTCTCCTGTGCTTCTTCAAAATAGTACCCTGGGACTTTTTCCCTCCACCTGAGAGAACAGATGGGGTCTCCAATGTATCATACAATAGATGACACCACTGATTTCATTCCCAAACCGCTGCAATACAGTATCAATTTTGATTCTTGCATTCAAGTCCAGGAGTGGGATTTGATCTCATGACTATCAGACTCAGAGATATGAGTGTTACCAGTGACAGCTAAACTTGTGCAATACAAAACGTAAAGATCATATTGTCCATAGACATTTAATTGATCAATTACTCTCAGAAAATGAAACAGTGTGAAGTGAAAAGGTTAAGTTAGCTTCATGGATTAAATTAGATTAATTCATCTTTCTTATAGTTTACAGGATGTGACTTTGGCTACATGTCAATTTAAGTGAGGATTGAAGAATGTTGATTGTCGAGTTATTTCTTTTCAGGGTTTAATCCTTCCATGTTCACCAAAGTCACCAGGGCCACATACCAGCTGCAGTACAGATGGCGAGAAGGGGACTGACTAGGTTGCAGGATTTCATCACTCTTCAAGCATATGCTGAAATGCTAGCACTGATTCTCAGTTTTGATCCTACTGTGGGAACAGGATCCCACAGCAGACACATCAGAGAACAGAAACTTAGTAATATTAGGACAGTCAAACCTGTACCCCGAGCCTACCCCAGTGATGTGATGCTGTCTACAGATATTGCTGCCATCCTACATACAATAATGACTGTTAATACCTCTGTTAACATTCATATAAAATAAAGTCCTCCAGAACATCAGGCAGCTCACAGGAACAGTCATGTGCAGAAGCTTTCACATCAGGTGCAACAGTATAAGAAAATTTGATAAAGAAATACCGACCAAAATTAAAAGCTAAAAGAGGGCTCATTATATATCAAGAATTGTCCAAATTCTTCTGTATGGCTGACTATTGACCATCGCTGACCAGTTTCAAAATCACATACATGTTGAAAATTTTGATATTGTGTATTGATACTAGTAGTGATTGGAACGAAGGTCAGGTGGATCTTATTGACAGTGAGATCCTTGATTGGGGGTTGTTAACCTGGGCCAATCAGGGAGCCCAGGCTGACAGATATAAATAGGTGATTCAGAGAGCCTCCTCATTCTACGGACCGGCTCAGAGCTGGCTCGTCAGAGCCCATGTACTATGCACTTGTAAATAAGGGGTGGCTTGGTAAGAGGATACCTGTCTCATCGGAGTTAGTTCAGTACTGTTTTGAAAGGAAAGAAGCAAATAATTACACTACCTTTCAAGTGTCCAGACACCCTAAAGTGCTTCACAATCAGTGGGGTAGTTATGAAGTGTCATCGATGCTGTAATGTAGGAGGTGTGTCAGATAATTTACACAAAGCATGGACTCACAAACAGCAGTGAGATAACATGACCAATCATCTGTTCTGAGGTGTTGGTTGAGGGGTAAATATCTGGTCAGCACATCAGGATTGCTCCCTACTCTTTCTTGAATGGTGCCACGGGATTGCAAAACAGTCCTCAGTTCAATGTCTCAACCAAAATAACTCCAAGAAGCAGCTTTTCAAGTTGAATCCACTAACCCAGCAGTTTATCACAAGTTGCCATTACTTGATTCTGAAGGAGATAGTTAGAACTGCCGATGCTGGAGTTAGGGATAACACAGTGTGGAGCTGGAGCAACACAGCAGGCCAGGCAGCATCAGAGGAGCAGGAAAGTTGACGTTTCGGGTCGGGACCCTTCTTCAGAAATGGGGCAGGGAAGGGAGCTCAGAAATAAATAGAGAGAGGAGGGGTGGGGCCAGGGAAGGTAGGTGGGATGGTGATAGAAATCTCCCCACCCCCGGCCTCATCCCATGACCAACCCTCCCTCTCATCCCCACCTCCTTGACCTGACACAACCTGTCCATCTTTTCTCCCACCTATCCGCTCCTCCCACCTCACTGACCAATTCCCACACTGCCAACCTGCACTCACTTATCACCATCCCACCTACCTTCCCCAGCTCCACCTCTCCTCCCTCTATTTATTTCTGAGCTCCCTTCTCCCTCCACATTTCTGAAGCAGCGTCCCGACACGAAACGTCAGCTTTCCTGCTCCTGTGATATTGCCTGGCCTGCTGTGTTCCTCCAGCTCCACGCTGGGTTATCCTTGATTCTGAAGGAGTTTGGTTCTGTAATAATTGGCTGCTGACCCTCTTTCAGACTGTCTTCTAGACCTTTTTTTTATATATAGGTATATTTCACTTACACGTTTACTTATTATATATGTTACTAAGGCAGCCTTGTCCAGAAAAGCCTAAAGGATTACATTCGGAAATCTTAAGCCTGCTGCCTGTATTGTCAATGAACCACCTGTGACTCTCGACTCACAATAAGCTGTAAATCAGCCTCTTTGCTCAGTTTAATTAAGCCTCAGGCTGTTGTCTAAATATGGGTGTTCTTGTGGTAGAAAGTTAAGTAATTTTTTAAGCTGAGTGGGTTTGGTACAACATGATTTAACTTTTCTTCTTTGATAGCAGATGAACTGTAACACGACAACCGATGACCAAAACACACCTTTATAACAATAAACAATATTTGCAATAATGGGTGGAAATGAGGATGAGTTTTTCAGGCATTGACATGATTGAAAATCTAGTTCTAAGACAGAAACTGATCGACGTTTACCTACAGTGGTTAATCTTGGCAAAAAAGACCCATTTTCCTCGATCTATCATTAAATCTTGATTGTTATTCTGCAGGTTAAAGTTCTGCAGTCTTTTTTAGGCAAGACAAATAAAAGGTGTTTCTTCACAATCTCAGCTGTATCCAACTTAATCAAATATCGTAAATAGGTAGATAAGTTTCAGCAAAGTGAAGTGCTCAACGCAAGTCTTTTTAAGTTTCTTTGTGCTTGTCCATGTTTAGAGTGACATTTTACATGATTTATTAAATATTAAACTAAGAGCCAATCAGTTTATTCCTTTCTAAGTACAATCTGATAAATCTTTTAATGTTTTATCATTTTCTGAAATAAAATGCAGTCTCACAACTTAATTCTTTTTTGAATATAACCAATAAAGAACCATTTGAAATATACAAAATAACAACTGTGGAATATTTTGTTCCTCATGAATGCAAAAGGTATGACGGACATTTCACAGTATGGGATAAAATCCACTTTCTTTATATGGTATAAAATCCACACTCACCAGTCTTTTCTGTGATGAATTTACAGTTAAAACTATTATTCTCCTGTTTATTATCTCAGAATTCACACAATGTCTGTATTTCATGATAGTCTTAAGCTGTGCTATGTTTAATTATTCCATTAAAAATGAAGTCATTTGGAGACTGAATGTAGAAGGATTCACAACTAAGTAAAATGTTTTGTACTCTTCAAGAAAGTATATCAGCATTCATTACTGTGAAATGATTTGTATTTGCACTGCGCCTAATCTAACTGCTGACTGGAGTAAATCTCAGAACCTGTCAGTAATAAAGCCAGTTTAAGACCTGAGATGACGATAATATTGCACAGGACACCTATTATGAGTGAACACTATGTAGGCTTCACTGCACAGTTTCAGATCGTGGCCATAAACCTTTAAAGAGTAGGCAGATGTTTCAAGCCTAAATCAGAAGGCTGATCTGTGTTAGTTAAAGGAAGTGACTATAAAGATTTTATATAGTAGGATATTCCTCTGAAGTGAAGTCTGATTCAGTAATCCTTACAAACATAACTGCTGTTATATGATCCATTGTGTCTTCCTG